CCTTTTAACACCCCCCTTTTCATGTGTTCAATACTTTTTCCCTGTGCCATTCCACATTATTACAAATAACTTAATTTCTGGATATTTATGGTTTGATTTCTTTGTATGTATGGATCACTTGGGTTGTTACCAACATCTGGTGAAAATTTCATGTCATTAGCACCTCTAGTAATATATTTACTGAGAAAAATGGTGACGTGTTCAATACTTATTTTACCCGCTGTATCTCGGAAGACACTGACAGCAGGAGGTGGATCCAGCTGCAGCCACTGCTACCAGTACAAATGGAACAGCTGATCAATACTGTGAGATAAATGTTTGCTACATGAGAACTTATTCTGTAAATGTGTTTCCATTTCCCCTTTTGCGCAATAACTCTTTTTCGAAAAATCCAAAGGCCACCCGAAGCGAGCGTAAAAACTGGATAAATATCCTGTCCATCTTAGAGACAAGCAGACATATAAATTCACAGCAGCTGGGCATTGTTTGTTTTCGCAACAGGAAAAAAAACATGCATTACTCCACACAAAAAGCCTGCAAAGCACCTTCTGTGCTGAGAGGCCTCAGCACAATCCCATTAAAAAAAGCCAAAACAAACACCTTGTTTAAAGCAGGAGGTCTGGTACAGACCGTGGAACGCACCCCCACATGAACACACTAATGCATCGACACTTTTACTTCTTATTCATGCAAAAAGTTAGAAATGCCTTGGGACCTCTGGTCTGCTGTAGCTGGTATTTCCGCATAACAGCTCAGGATTAATAGCTGGCTGTGGGGGAGCTGGGAAAGCCAAGGGTTGTGGTGCAGGAGGGATGAATTTGTTCCGATATGGAGAGCGAGAATGGAAGGTTGGAAGGCGTGGAAACAAATAATGAATTTTTGGGAGAAAAGGAAAATAATAAATGTGGATATTATCAGGAAAATTAAGAATACAGAATTGGCCTTAGTTGTCCAAAAAATAAAATAAAAAAGGCTGAAAGCTCATTTTAGAGCTTTTCCTTATCAATACTGAGCATAAACAAATTAGACTACTTTATTTTTGTCCACATATACGTAAATACAAAAATATCTGACAGAAATGATGTGTACCATTTTAAATTAGTCTGAGTAAAATTCAAGTTTTAAAATGTTTTTGGGTTTGACATATTGGTCGCTTTGTCATGCTTGTCGCCTACTTGGTAAACAAAAAAGGTAACGCCTCTACAGTCACAAAACAAAGTATGAAGCTGGATCCTGCAAGAACACGTAACAACTGAAATTAGAGGGCAACAGATACAGTATGAGGTTTTCTATGAACCATGCAAATCTTTGGAAATATTTGGTCGACAATAACTGCTTAACTTACATAAAGGTTTAACAACCCTAGAAGTACTTCTCCTAAAATGATATAGAAGCCCCATTCTGCTAAAAGAAACAAAAATAAAAACAAGACTGTGGGCTATAATCAGAATGTTACCTAGGCTGTGGTGCACAGGCTTACATCACATTGTGTGCGCGCGCGCACACACACACACACACACACACACACACACAC